CTAAGCCACCCTGCTGTCCTCAACCTCCAGCGTTGCCTCCCCTGCCTCACCCAGCAGGAATGGACTCCAAGAGGAGACCTATCAGCATGCCCACTCCACACCTGACCTCTCACGTGGATCTTTGCCCACCTCGGCCACCTCCATCCTACTGCTGAGGTGAACTGTCAGTGGTCCAGCCAAGGCCAGCCCCCTCCTCTCCTCTGACATCTCCCTCCAACTGCCTCTGCCCTGATCCACAGTCATCTGGCTCTTCCCTCCCTCCGAGGTCTTCCCCATCAGCCTCAAAACACACTTTCACTTTCCCATTTCAAAGATTCTCTCTGGACTTCCACTTCCCCTTGAGCGGCTGCTCCATTTCTGCTCTGTTGTCTGAATGGGTTTCCAATTTCCCTCCCACAGAGTTCACCCTTTCAAGTGTACAGCCACCGTGTTTACTAAATTCATAGATTGGGGCAGCCATCACATGCTGTCGCTGTGACAAATATTGGATCAACTTAAAATGAGGAAAGGTTTAGTTTTGCTTATGGTTTCAGTCCCTGGTTGGTGGCTCGGCTCTGTTGCTTTGGGCCGAGGTGGCCTAGGAATCATGGTGGGAGGATGCCTGTTCGCCTCCATGAGGTCAAGAAGCAAAGAAAGACAGGGGGCCAGGCACAGAGGCCACACGGTAACCCAGGGACTCCAGGGGCTCCAGAGGCTGAGGCAGGAGGAGTGGAAGTTGGAAGCCAGTCTCAGCAATTTCGGGAGACAGGTCACAAAATAAAAATGCAAAGGATGTAGGATGTAGCTCAGTGGTAAAGCACCCTGGGTTCAATACCCAGCATACATACAAAAAAACAGGAGATGCTGGGTCCCAGTGTCCCCTTCAAGAGCATACCCCCAGTGACCTACCTTCTTCCACTAGGCCACCTTCTAAAGGCTGCACTGTTTCCCAGCAGCAGGACAGACAACCAAGCCTCTAACACATGGGCCTTCGGGGGCCACTTAAGATCCAAACTACAGCAACCACAATCTAATTTTAGAGCAATTTATCACCCCCCAAAAGGAGCCCCATCCCCACTGCATCCCTTCTTGTTCCTCAACTGACTCTCCCTGCAAGACCTGGGCAGGCACTGGTCTGCCTCCTGTGGACAGGTAGTGTGGACATTTCATATAACTGGAACCTGGAGCATGTGTTCTTTGTGGCTCTCTTCCATTCAGCATGTTTCCAAGATTTATCCACCTCATTGCAGGTGTCTCTGATTCATTCCTATTTATTGCCAATCTTCTATAGCATGTCTGTCTCCTGACTCGTCTATCCATTCATCAGTGGGTAGACATTTGGGAGGTTTCTCCTGGGGGCTATTAGGAATGATGCCATTATGAACATTCATCATGTTTTTGGGTGGACGTACATTGTTTCACTTTCTTGGGTATATACTTAGGATGGAATTGCTGGGTCCTGTGGAAATTCTGTGAATTTCTGATGAACTGTCAACTCCTGCACAGGGTACCTGTCATTTTACATCCTCACCAGCACTGTCACCAGGGTTCCAATTGCTCTGCATCATCGCCACGTTGGTTTTAACCTGACCTTTGGATTGCAGGCCGTCCTAGCAGGTGTGAAGTGCTAGTTCACTGTGGYTTTTATTTGCATTTCCCTAATGACGGACAGTGTTGAGTGCCACTGACTCAATCCCAAGCCAAGCAGCTGCACTGACTCCTCCCCGACCCCACTGCCCGCTCTGGTCCAGCTCACCAGCGATGTCCACATTGCAAAAGCCAGTGGTGATTCTCAGGCCTCCTGTTAATGATTTGGTGGCAGGTGGCACAGTCACACTCCCTCCTGAGTGCTTTCTTCACGTGGCTTTCAGGATGCCACAGGTGTCCTGCTGTCCTCCCCCACCCCGTTCTCTTTCCAGGTTCCTTGTCTGAAGCRGGTCTCCCCTCTTATCCACCGCACTTGCTTCCTGGGTGTGTCTAGTGTTAYGGTTCTGAGCGCCTCCTTTAAGCTCTGTGTCTGGAAATGGGACTCCCATATTTTCATTTTCAGATGAGATCTTGCCCCTAAATTCCTGGCTTGTATATCTGACCGCTCTCCCCTTGAGACCCAAGAGGCATCTCACACCCAGCACCATCTCTCCTCCCTTTCCTCCCCCAACACCCACAAAACCTGGTCTTCCAACAGTGTCCCCGTCTTGGGAAACAACTGCATCACTCCAGCTGCCCAGGCCAAAAATGTACTGTTGTCCTGTCCACAACAGAAGCCACCACTACATGGGACTATATAAAACACTCTTTTCAGTCATTCATTGATGGAGTCAGACACATTTACCAAGTGCCTACTGAGTGCCACATGCTTTGCCAGGGTTGCAAGAACTGAAACGAGTGAGTCCTCCTGCATCTGACGAGCTCCCAGCCAAGTGGACTGGGAGCTTGTGATCCATAGTTAGGAATGCCTGGACCCAGGCTCTCTGACGTCTGCTGTCCTGGGGTGGGGACTGTTGACAGTAAATAAAGCTACCTAAGGTTATAAATGCAGCTCCTTGGCTGCACTGGGCACCTTTCAAGTACCCTGTGGCCATGGGTGGCTGGTGCCACCATAGGGAGAGTACAGCTCTAGAACATTTGCATTAATGCAGACGGTTCTGCTGGACAGTGCCACAGAGTGACCTTGACCCTTCTCTCTCTCACCCAACATCCTGATCCCTCAGTGAATCCCATTGTCTGTCTCCGGGACACACGAGAAGCTACTGCTCCTCATCCTCCCTTGTCCCTGAATTTCACTTTTGCCTGGATCCACAGACCTTGCCRTGCCCACGTCGGCACCATCTGGCCCCTTCTGACCCACTTCCCTGATCTTGTGGGTGCCCACTTCCTGCAGCTCCAGCTACCCCCGCCTCCTTACTCCCCCACATACCTGGCATTCCTAGTATGCCAGTCTCAGGGYTCCACCCGGCTGTCCTTGCCTAGACTGCCCTGAACTATCAGGGTGACTCACACCACCCCCTTCCCCTTCAGGTCTTGCTCAGCTACCACCTTCTCTGCCAGGCCTTCTCCTAAGGTCGGCAGCCGCCCACCACCCCGCACCTCACCTTCTCCCTGTGTACTGTCATAGCTGGATGTATACTTGACTCTGCTTAATTTCTTGCTTTTTAGCTGTCTGTGGCATAGTAAGAAATACATATGTGGTGTCTACCCTCAGTTCCTGTCATAGAGCGGCTGAATCCCTTGGACCTTCTGGTGACCACAGCATCTTTTGCTCTCCTGTCTCGGTTGGCTCCTGGATAGGGCTCCTCACCAGCAAGACTAAGCCAACCGTGATGAGGCCCTTGGATCTTTCAGCCCCACCTGCCATCCTTGCGGAGGGGAGAAGGGCTGAGGATAATTGACGACCRTGCCAACAAGGCAAAGCCTCCAGAAAAACCCCTAACAGGAGGTTCACAGAGCTCCGGGGTTGGCGAGCACACCCATGTGTGAGGAGGGTGGTGTGCCCCAACTCCACAGGCACTGAAATGCCTTCACTTGGGACCTATCAGCCCTCACCCTGTGTCCCCCCCCCCCTTCTGGCTATGAATGCTCCCTTTCCACCAGCCTTTATAATGAGCTGGTAAATGTTAGCAAACGTTCCCCTGAGTTACATGAGCTACTCCAGCAAAGCACTGAACTGGGGGTGGAGGGAAGATTTTAAGATCCCTCGACTTTGACRCCAAGTTGGAGAAGTGAAGGTACCCTGAGGACCCACGCTTTGTGACTTGTGTCTAAGTGAGAGCACTGTCTCCTRGGCCTGATCCCTTAAAACCAGCGGAGCTTGACACTAACTCTAGGGAGCTGATTTCAGAATTGAATTAAACTATACAATACTCAACTGTGTCTAGAGAGTTGGGGAATTAGTTGGTAAAAGAGGAAAAAATCCATGTTGGGTGTCAGAAGTGTTCCGAGAAATAATTTTCTTTACCATCCACTASAATCTAAGTTCAATGAGAGCACAGATTTTTTTTTTTCTCTTCTGATTTCTTCATTGCCGATTCTAGAAGGCCTTAAAAATACCCGGCAACAGCAAGTGGTCAATATATAGACTGAATGAGTCAATGAAGGGGCGTACATCAGAACAGGAATGAGTACATGAGGACCAGAGAAGACCACCCCAAACAGAAGGAAGTAGGAGCTGCATGCCCAGTTCAAGGGCAGGTCAAAGGGTCACCCCAGCTGGGAATAGTTGAAAGAAGGCACAGAACTAGAAGCACAGTGGTGAGCAAAGAGGAAGAAGACCAGGGCAGAGGAACCGCAGGGCAGAGGAACTGCAGGGCAGACGCGTGGTGCCTCACCCTGGGCGGCTGGTAGACATGGCCAGCAAGGTCAGAAAGGGCTAGAACCTGGGAGCCTTGGAGACTTTGTCGAGGAACTGGTTTGTTCCAATGGCAGTAGGGAGCCACTGAAGGGTTTTGGAGCAGAGAAATGACCCRGTCTAAAAAACTGTAAAATATCATTCCAGCTGCCAAGTGGAGCAAGGTCAAGCAAAGGCAGGGAGGCGGGACAGAGGCTGCTATGGCCATCCAGGCAGAGATGCGGAGGGAGACTCATCACCCAAAGACCAGCTCATGGGGGAAGTTAAAAAGGCCAAGGCTTGGACATGGGTTCAAAGTGGAGGCAGAATAAAACACCACTTAAGCTTGTGGGGTTTGAGTTGCTAGAAGGACGTGGGTGCTCCATCCTTCTTGKAGATGAAGGCTTTGAGGGAGACATCTAGGACTCTGGGTGTCTTCTGCMGGGAGACGTCAGAGAGATTGACAGAGACAGGGARGGGCTGAGTTTGGCACCAAAAGCCCTCGGCGCAGAGACTTGCATTATGACTGCTATGCCTGCTGCAGCCACCATGGGGGCGCAAGACGCGGGAGCATACTGGGAGTATGCTGCCCTTGCTCCTGAGTTAACAGTGCCCACTTCAAAGATGAATGAATCCAGAATCYGAAATATATTCTTTATTTTAGGATGAAATAGGATAAGGAAGAGATAGCTTTGTTAGTTGCCACTGAGGTACCATCGAAAGAACATCCTGGGGACACAAGGAGATACATGTATTGGAGGAGGGATTCGTAAGAGAAATATAGGTTCTGAAGCCTTGATTTCTGGATCTCAAAAGGTGAGCAGGGCCTGACTCCCAGGTCTGGGGAGGAGGGCTGGGGTCTGGACCCCTGGGTCTGAGGCAGGAGGCACTGGAATCTAGAGTCCTGCGTCTGAGGGAGGGACGGGGACCTGGTCTCTTGGCCGGGGGAGGGGGCTTGGTGGGACCTGGACCTCTTAGGTCTGAGGGAGGAGGCCTGGAGTCTAGAGTGCTGGGTCTGAGCCTGGYTCCCTGGGTCTGCAGGAGGGGCAGCTGGACGCTGGGACTCACCACACCAGCAYGGTCGCCATCGCAGATGCCAGGGCRGCTACAGCTGCGAGCATGCAGAGATTGCCCAGCGTCAGAGCCTCGGGCCTGGCCAGCAGCTCGCCCAGGCTGGGCCGCCAGGGCTCGATCATTTCCGCGTCCCGCGGCGCCCAGCTCACCACTTCCCGAAACGCTACTTGGAGCTCCGTCTCGCCGCGCGGGGGCGGGCCCGTCACTGCGGGGGCGCGCACGTCACCGGGCAGAGCCCCGCCCCCGAGTCCCCGCGCCCCCGMGCCCGCCCCCCGCACCGTTCAGGAAGAAGTAGAGGCGCGCCAGGGGGCGCTGGTCATGCTTGATCACGCAGGAGAAGGTGCCGCGGTGCTTGGGCTGCACTGGCCKGATCCGCGCCAGGTACCCTCGGGCCTGGGGCACTTCTCGGAAGTAGGACACGTCCCGAGTGCGCATCTGCCGGGGCGGCGGGGCACCCGAGCCAGGTCGACCCCTCGCGGCTCCCAAGCCCCGCCCCGCGCCAGGCCCCGCCCCCGGCCMCGCCCAGTCSGCAGCTCGCCGGGCAGCCCCGGGCGCGCCCCACCAGCTGCTCCCCAGACCCTTCGGGGTCCCGCCCCGACTCACACCTCCCGCAGCGAACTTCCAGGTATAGGTGACCTCCTCGGGCGGCAGCTGGAAGCCCACGACACAAGAGAACATAGCCTGCTCCCCCCGATTCACCGTCACGTCCTGAACTGAAGACCAAGGGGCGCTCCCGCGGGCCGCCAGGGTCCCCCGGGCCCCTTCCCTTCCTCACAACAGCCCCTTTTCTCCAGTGGTGGTCCTGGCACCTCAGGCCCCGCCCCTCACCTGGACAGTCCAGCGGAAGTTTGCAGAGACTGGAGAAGCACTTGTTGCAAAAGAAACGCCGGGCGACCTCCTGGACCCCTGTGGGGCGAGGACGCGGGATCTGCTGTTCTTTTGGTCAACTGTGGGCTCCCTGGGTCCTCTGGGCCAGGTGGAAGGTGACCCGCCTTCCCCGCGTCATTCCTGAGGTGCTTCTCACTCCTGGCCACCCTCTAGACCTYCTGTTGGTTTACTTGGGGACCCCGGAACCGTCTTCTTTGAGCTTTTAAAGCAACCTGGCTTCCTTCGGGYCTGAAGCCCACCCATGCCCTGCCACCTGAACTCCCAGATTTCGACCCGACCGCCCCTGTTCTCCGCGATCCTATTCGTATTTAAGACCTTACCGCAGGGAGGGACGCAGGGCTGAACTGCGGAGAGAGGGGACGCATTACTACCCGAGAAATCGCCGGAGGGACTCAATCTACAGCTCCGCTAGAGGATGGCACCTGGCCGGACACCTTCCCTTAAGGGGCGGAGCCAGGCCTGGGGCCCTCCCCTAGCCTAGATCTGCAATGCCCCACCCAGGGGCGGGCCCGGGGTCTCAGAGCGCCACCCAAGGGGGGAGGCTAGGCCCTCAATGCTCCACCTAGGGGCGGGGCCACGTCCTCAGGGCCGCGTGAAGAAGTCAGACTTAGGCCTGTTCAGGATAGAGGGGACATGTATCACACCTGTGCCCTGAGGAGTGAGGGGACATCATTAGTGTATTCCACAGGGGGAGCAGGACTAGATGCTTGGCGATCCTTGGAGAAGCCAAGACCTAWTTATTAGGAGGCCGAGTTAAAGAGGTAAGGCCAGTCTAGTCCACTAAGGAGATCCAGTTGGAGAGGGAATCTTTCAGAGAGCGGGGGTGGGGGCACACACTGACATCCAGGAAGAGGCCTGGACAAGTCTGGTCCGCACCGTGCTAAAACTGATGGAACTGGAAGGACACCTGCGGTCCAAGGGGCAGGGCCAGAGGCAGAGTGGTGCAGGCGGGATGGACAGCTGCCTACCAAGGGCTCCAGCTCAGAGTCCACCAGGGGATTGTACGGAGTGGTCAGGGTTTTCAGGAGTGGGGTTTTCCACCTGTGTGTATCTGGGGCCGGGAGGAGGTTGGAATCTATTTTACCTTCTTTAAGCTGTAGAATGGCCTTCTTCATTTCTTCTGCAGCAGCACGAAAGGCGTCCTCAAAGGACCCTGGAGAGTGGAGGGGCCCTTGTAGRGGCGGCCTTTTCCTCTGACCCACTCAACAGGGCTCGCTGTCATGCCGTGTCCTTTCTGCACTCATCTGTYACTACCACATCCTGTCTTCCTGCCTTCTTCATCTGTCTACTGGGAAGCCTGGCAAGTCCCTCCTTCTGCCTCCTGGGTGTCTCTCTCTCAGACAGAAACCCTCTCCTGAAACATCTGCCCTTACCTTGTTGAGAGAAAAGGGAAAATAATGACAAAATCCTCGCCCAGRCCTACAAGGTCCTAGGTGGTCTGGCCGAGTTCTGTTTTCCTCTTTTCTTTCACATGAAAAGAACCACATTCCTAGCACCCCAGGGACTTTGCACAAGCTGGCTTCTGATCCCAGCACATCTTCCCCACTGATTATTCTCCAGTTTTTACACCTCAAGGGTCACCTCCCTACGATTTTTTCCACAATCATAAATCTATAGTCTTCTTGAGTTCCCTGTTATTATCTGTCATAGCTCCCTATTCATTCCATGCATAGTTTTCACCAGCTTGCAATCTCTCTCTCTCTCTCTCTCTCTCTCTCTCTCTCTCTCTCTCTCACACACACACACACACACACACACACACACACACACGCATATACAGAGGTCTATGCTGATCATCGAAGTATCTTAGTAATATGTCCTTGTTTAGATGGGGGGTGGGGCCCTGAGTCTTAAAAAGAGCTCAGTAAATATGTGTACAATGAACTCCAGAATCCAGCTGGAATTGGAGCCCACAGGCAGTGGCCTATGGCCCAGATCCACCCTCGGATGTGTTGTATTTGGCCTGGAAAGTGTTTTTTTTTTTTTTAATGAACTGGTTGCCAAGATATAAAATTTGGAAAAGTCACATAAAATATTTGGCATTGCGTTTAAACTTTTTGGAAAGGCTGAAATGCAGAGACTGCATCTCTACCAGGCAGCCATGGGCTGGAGCTTTGTGCCCCACCCCCCCTTAAGAGGCCCGTCCCTGCTTGTCCCCAGCCCAGGCCCTGTTGGGATCTACCCCTCCTCCACTCTTACTTCCTGGCTCCCTGGTGCTCACTGGGGTTAGACCATTGCCCTGTCCAGGCTGCTGGGTTGTGGCTCTTTCTGCTGGATCTCTGCAGAGAGCCTGGACGGCTGGATTGATCTCACGGTGGCGGTGGTTTGGGATCAGAAACGTGGCAGGATGCTATGGGATGGAGTGTGCCCTCCCCTTCCCCAAATTCATGTGTTGAGGTCYTTGTCCCCAGTGTCTCAGAAGTGACTGTATTTGGAGAGCATCCAGAGAGGTGACAGAGTTCAAGTGAGGTCATTAGGGTGGTCCCCAGTCCAGAATGGTTGGTGTCCTTGTAAAGAGGGAATGGGATGCAGACCCTCAGGAGGGAAGGCCACATGCACCCGGGAGAAGACAGCCCCCGGAGCCCTCAGAACAGCCACACCTTCACCTCCAACTTCTAGCCCCCAACACTGTGAAGACATGAWTGTCATCTAAGCCGCCTGTCCGCCCCGGCGCCTCGTCTCAGCAGCCCTAGCAAGCCAGCCACAAGCACTGTGGCTGCCTCCMAACACCTAATTCTTCCCTCTAATAACAGAATGCTGTGTTTCACCTGGGAAAGCACTCCCCACCTCCCCACCTAGCTAAAAAGCTGTGGTCATATGACCAAGTTGTGGCTGTTAGATATAAAGTGACAGTGTCATGTGAGTCACAGCCTTAAAAGGGAGGTACTGTCACCCTACTGATTCCTTCCGCTGCCTCCATTCTGCTACCTGAAACTTGGTGTTGATGACTGGAGCTCCAGTAGCCACACAGGACCATGAGGACCAAGGTGATGATAGAGCGGAAAGCTGGAAGGAACTTAGGACTAAGAGCCTAACTCAGACTTATTTCATGTGAGAAAAATAAACTTCTAGTTTGCTTACGCCATGGTGGGGAAGGAGGAAAGGTTCCTCTGTGACTCAGTGAGGGTACTGGCAGGAAAGTGGCTTAAGTCGTGATCATCGGGTGCACMCTCAGAGGGGTACCCCTGAAGCCAAGGAGGGGGTTCCAAACGAGAAGCCGGGGACTTAGAGGTCTTTGCTTGGCCACAGAGCAGGAGTGTGGTCTGCAGTGGCAGGGTGACCAACACGATGAGGTCACATGGGACGCTCCCGAGAGGCCAGGAATTGGAGGAATCACCGTGAGCTATCTCCGGGTCTAACCAGTGGCTCACAAGGAGAGTGAGTGGGGGACAGCCCAGTGAGCCGGGGAGGCAGGGGTGTGACCCAGAGAGGGTGGGGGTGTTGGGAAGTGTCCCCCAGGGAGTGGCCAGAGGGAGGTGCTCCATCTCTGGCTCACATCACCTGGGGTTGAGCCCTGGCATGTCTGGGAGCACCTGTCTCACACCCGAGGGATTCCCTGGGCGACCCTGGTCAGCCACTTAACTTCCTGACCCTGAGTCTCCTCCTTCCTAAGGTGGGGACAGTGTCTGCCTCCCAGGGCAGGGAGGGGGCTAGGTGCCCCAGGACATCTAAGCTGTCTAGTGGCACCACTTAACGCCTGCCTGAGGTAGTGTATCAGCCCTCAGAAGGATGTGCCGAGGGCACCCGGGGGACACAGAGGAGGGCAGCTAGTATTGTCACCACCTCCCAATCTGAGATGGGAAGGCGAGACCTRAAGAAGTCAGGGAAGTGGTCCAGGGTGACACGGCCACCCTGCGCCCCACAGGCCTCTCCACCCACTCGTTCCTGTGACCTATGACTGTCCTCTTTCCCCACGGCTTGAGCATTTCTCATCCAAGTGCTGAGACCAGAAGTGTTCCRATTTCTAGAGTTTTATAAATTTTGGAATAGTTGCTTGTACGTAAGAGAGATGTCAGAGAGGGGGCACAAGTCTCCGCTTGGCGCCCGCTTGGGCTTCATGCACACCTGACGTGCAGCATTTTGAGTGCACCTGACACGTGAGGTCAGGTGTGCAGTCAAGTTGGTGCTCAAAGTTTCAGTTTTGGAGCACGTCAGATTTCAGACCTGGGGGTGAAGGACGCCAACCCTGCCCCACTATCCACCCCACGGTGCATACACAGGAGCAGTCTCCCYGTGGCCACCAAGAGCAGCACGAGTCCTGCCCTCCATCTCTCCGGTCCTCCCTGGGGAGTCATCTGTTGTTCTTCCTGTTCCCCGAAACCACATGCCTCTGGACCTGTCCATCTCCAGACATCTGAGTCTGCCCTTCCTGTCCAGTGGAGCCCCAGCTTGCCCCTCTGGAAAGTGGGGCGGTGATGCTGCACCTCCCGGAGCTGGTACCGGGATGCACTTTAGGTCGGTAATCAGCACAAGCACAGGGCGGACACGCTCCTTCCCATGCACATGCGTGGGGCAGGCCTGGCGCCAGGTCAAGCCCTCCCTGATGAGTCCCAGACCTCATCTTGGCCGGCCTGGACCACTGCCACTGGCAGGCCACCATCGGCAGACCTCTCRCTGTGTCCCACCTGGCTGCCAGAGGGAGTCCTGTGTCTCCGGGTAGCATCCTGCCATAGCTCCCCACCTTAAAACAGAAGACCAGGCCATTCCACGGCCCACAGCAGGCCTCCTCGGTGAGCCCAAGCCAGAATCAGCAGCACTTGTGAACTTGGTAAAAATGTCTACTCTTGGGTCCTACCTCAGACCTGCTGGTCAGAAACAGAGGGCAAGCCCAGCAACCTGCCTTGTAACAACTCCGAGAGGTTCYGACATCTACTAGGGCTGGAGGACCACTGGTCTGCATGGATGGATACCACCTAGTCTCTTGCCACCTCTCCAGGCTCAGCTGTACTCTAGACCCACTGGCCCCGTTTTCTCCTCCTGAGACTATTTCTCCAGGTCTTCTGGCTCTCACAACCTTATCCCATCTTTGCTCCACTGGATCCTCTCATCTGCACCCACTCTGACCAACCCATCTTACACAGTCTCTGCATTCCCTTCTCCGATTGCCTCCACAGCACAGATCACCTACTGACACTATTTCATTGACAGTCTGTGCTCTGACCCTCAACAGTAAGCAACCAAGGGCAGGTGGCGTGCAGTTTGGGGCTTGGCTGTGTCCCCAGTGGTATTCCTGGCACATTCAGTAACCACCAGTTGACRTACTGCACCGCCTGTCCCAGCCTCCAGCCTCTCCCCCAATCTGTCCTCCACAGGGCCCCGGAGGCCCTTGCTACACCAGAGTCAACCCTCTTCACCTGACGTGGCCCTCCCAGGTCCCCAGCTCCCCCAGGGCAGTCTCTGTCTCCTGAGTCCTCTTCTGAACCTGGCATCTGGGTATCTTGCTGCCTCCTGGATGTCCCCCTAGGTCATTATGTCCTTCCTAACGGCCCATCACTGTCCCCACCCCAGCTTGTGTTCCCACGCCCCTCATCTCAGGAGTGACCCCAGTCCACCCAGGACTTGCTGGATGGGCTGTCAGGACTATATGTCTGTGTGTCCTTTCTCCATGACTACCCTGGGAGGCAGGAGACTGTCCCACTTTACAGATGGGTAAGTGGAGGCCAGGCGAGTGACACAGCAGACCTGGCCTGGGGTGATTTCTACACCACTCTTGGGCTCCTTGTCGCCATCTGTGGCCTGGTTTGCACTTGCACTTTTCCCTTTCCCCAAAGAATAACCTAAGCTACTCAAGTTCAGGGCTCACCCCGCCCAGACCACTGCCCAACTCCAGGGGTCCCTCCTGCCCTCTCAGTCTGGGGGCTTCAGGCCAATACCACAAGACACTCACCCTGGGCGGCCGCCGCCTCCTGGAGGGAATGGGCCATCTGGGTGAAGGCGTCCTGCAGGTGGCTTCTCTCCCAGTAGTCTGAGGGTGAGGGACCCGCGGGGCTGGGAGGCAGCTCCACCAGCACCAGGCGCCAGCCTCTGCCTTCTCTGCCCCTCCCCATCACTGCCTCCGGGCCGTCCTCCCACCCCTGCCTCTCCAGGTCTGTGGCCTCCCCGCTCCAAGCCCTCCACTCCCTTCTCCTGTGCTGTGGCGGCCCTCTGGGCGGGCACTTCTCCCTCTGCCTGTGTCTGTCTCTCCCTCTCCCTGCCCTTCTCCCGGCCTCACCAGCCCCTGCTCAGGGCCCTGGTCCAGGCAGGGTGGAGTCCTTACTGATCTCCACGTTGGAGAGGCCCTTGAAGGCAGCYGTGAAGGCCTCCTGGCACTGCTCCACCCGGGGGCCCCGGGCCCACATCTTGCAGAGGCGGAAGCGCTCAGCATAGGATGTGAAGCAGAGCAGACAGGCCCAGGTGGATGCCCTGAAGACCAGCAGGGCCAGCAGGGCAGTTGGGACAGCGCTCACCAGGGACAGCGGGGCCATCTAGGAGGGTCTCAAGGCCTAGGAGAAGCTGGTGACCTTTGTGAGGTCACTGCAGTGGGGGAGGGGCAGTGGCCTGGGGACAGAGGTTGGGTTTCAGTTGGTGGTCAAATGTCAGGCTCCCAGGAAGGGCTCCAGGGGTCAGCCTGCAGTCCCTGGGTTTGTAGTTGGTCCAGACGCCAGGCTCCCAAGAACCTCACCTGTGACCCTGGACGTCCTCACAGGTTAAAGGGTCTCAGGGACCCAGAGGCTGGCAATGCAGTGTGTGGTGGCCCCCAAGAGACCCTAGGATGGGGGTGGGGGAAAGACGAAGACAGACCCAGGGACACTGAGTGCCAGAAAGAAGACCAAACAGAGACAGGGAGAGATACCAGAGTGTGTGAGAGCCAGAGAGCCAGAGACAACCTGCAGAGAGATGGGGGCACCTCCAGGAACCACACAGGAGTGCAAGACGGGAAGCAAACCCACCTCCTGGTGGGAGAGGCTGGAAGGGCCAGGACAAGGTGCAGGGACATGGACAGAGCAGACAGCCCAGCTCCTTCCAAGGTCCCCAGGGCAGTGGTACAGGCCTGGGGTCCCTGCTGCCCCGTCCTGTGCAGGGCGCAGCCTGGGGAAAGCTAGGAGGCCGTATAGTGATCTCCGTGGGTGTCCTCCTCAACTATACAACCTCCTACCTCAGCCCGGGGGGCGCGGTAGGTGGACAGACCGGACAGAKGGGCAAGGAGGGACAGGGAGGGTGGGGAGGGCCGGGGAGGTCCCAGCCGCGATGGTGAGCCCCCGACACAGACCCACAGACACGAGCTTGTGTGCGGCGAAGGCCCCGCAAGGTCGGTTCTACGGGTGGGTGCCAGGACCCAGGAGTCCGGGCCCCCGGCCCCCTCCTCCCCAAGAAACCTAGGAGTCTAGGGCCCAACCACTTCCTCCCTCAGACTAGGGTCCAGGCCCAGCCTCCTCCCTCAGACCCAGGGGTCCAGGCCCAGCCTCCTCCCTCAGACCCAGGGTCCAGGCCCAGCCTCCTCCCTCAGACCCAGGGTCCAG